CACTTCCACTTCTACCTCTACTTCCACTTCCACTTCCACTTCCACCAGCACATCATTTGAGGCGGAGGAAGACAGATGCTTGTGTGTCTGTCGTCAGCTGCAGCCTACCGGTCGCCCTGCTACCCCACGAGGGCCCCCAACTGGTCGCCCTACCCCGCGTGGCCCTCCGACTAACGTGCCTGCTACCCCACGCGGCCCTCCCTCCGATCGCCCCACTCCACGCGGTCCTCCCTCCGATCGTCCCACTCCACGCGGCCCACGTACAGCGCGCCCCGATGACACTACGGAGGAGGATGTGACCACTGAGGAGCCCGCCACTCGTGAAAGCATTGAGGAGGGTGCGACCTCTGAGATGGAGGCAACTGCCACAACTCGAGCCATGTCCACTTCGGGCCCGACTACAACACGTCGCCGTGGTCCCGCATGGGATGACATTTTCCAGCGCCGCCCTTAAAAGAAGTAATTATTGCCATTATGCCCGATCCCTGCTGGATCACAAATGGGATGCGAGATGATGAATGACAGACAGCCACCTGTCTCGCTGTATCACTATCTGCATGTTGCAGTTTGACTCTCTGCTGTGCTCTAACCGCCATATTTATCTGTACAACATGGCCAGAAAGCTTGTCCCATAAGTGAATGTCAAGGCATTCAGTGTTTATTATTGTGCATGCTGTTTGTGTAATAATTGACGGTCCAACCGTACGTACTAGCCTGCTAGACCCACCACAAACGGCAGCGATACGTACAGCTTCCTACAACGGGATGCACTGCGTCAGTTACCTGTGTCCAAGCCGTCTGTCAACACATCCTCCAAAACGGAATGTGTCCTCACTGCCAAGTGGCACACACGTAACACCGCTCGGCTGTGCGCAAAAGGGCAGCCGGTATACCACTTTCCCGTCTGCCGTTGCTGTGCTTTTGCCCTGTCTCCTGTTGGTGACTGCTCGTGTAGGTTCCTTCCGCTCGTTCCGCTCGTTCCCGGTCCTGAATACACCGCTATCGCCTCTGCCCGAGATCATCACGCTCTAGGAATCTAGGACGAGAGGGATAAGGAGGATTCAAGCACATGTACTTTTTGTCCAGATCGCAGCACCATGTTGTGCACGAGAGGTTGGAAAGCCGAGTTGTGTCCCTATGAGTGTGTGTGTGCGTGTGTGTGTGTGTGTGTATGTGTGGCCGGATCAGTGCTAATGTACACACCGCCTCGGCCCACCGACCCCGCCGCCCTATGGTCCCAGCTCCCCCTATCCAATGCCATATGAACAAGAACCCAAAAAAAAAAACAACAAAGAGAAGAACACAGAGAACAACAAAGGGAACAACGAGAAGAATAAAGAGAACAACGTAAGGAACAACACAAGGAAAAGCCTGCACACACACACCCACACACACACACACAACGAATCTCAACGTCATAGCATCATGTCTGGGAAACGAGTTTCTCACTGCCTTCTCTCTCTTCTTGTTCACGTTATCAACATGAACGTGAACAACAAGAGTCATTTTTTTGGAGAAGAGGGTAAAACCTGCACACACACACACACACACACACAGACCCCGTTTGATCTACGGCGGCGGCCAGTAAAAGCGGGCAAGAGGCAAAGGGGAAGGAAGGGTGTTGGACCAGGAGGGGGTGGTACACATATGTCCACGTCCTGCATTTTTTTCGGGGGTACCTATTAGCCTGTTTAGCTGCCTTTGGGATCAGAGGTGTCTGCTGCGTGGCACGTTGACCTTACGTGTGTATTGTGCGCACATACTCCCCCCCCGCGTGCTCCGACGTGTAGTGATCCCACCGACAAGGACTCTTCAACAGCCCTCCTCACGGCTACTCAAGGTACGCACGCACTAGATTAGCTCCAACACGACTGGGCATTGACCGTCATTTTCCTTTTTGAAGCAGCCCCGTCACCATTCAGCCGCAATCTCGAGACGAGAGAGCATCATAGCATTAAAACGCTTGTAGCTCACCCCTCCACCTTGACTTGGCACAGTCGACTGCGCCGCCCCACCCACCCACCAGTGGCATGGCGCCGCAATCCACCTGGCGGCAATTGCGCCTGCTGCTCTGGAAAAACTTTACTCTTGCCCGCCGCCGACCCGTGCGTCACTCCTCCCCTGTCCCCTCTGCCTGGTTGTGACGCACGTGCTCATCTTCCGTCGCTGTCACTTTTGCTTTTGTTGCTTGCTCACAGTTTTTTACTCTCTTTGAGATCATTCTGCCCGTTCTCTTCATCCTGATTCTGGCTGCTGTCCGTCATGTCACGAAAAACAACGCCAAGCAAGCCGTACGTTGCCTGCCGCCTGCCGCTGCCAGTGCTCCTCCCGCGACCGCAACTTGGCACTAACAGCTCACGCTTGCCTTACTCGTGTGCTCAAAATTCACCGACTCCGTGCCCTCGTACAGTGCGTGGGCGGCTGCACGTACGAACCATTTGGACCGTCAGACCCAACCTCCAACTATACAGGTCTACCCTGGGGTCTCATTGCAGCTCGCTGCGACTCTTATCAGGTCCGTCGACCGTGCTCCAAAGAGAGCAGTATCCTCTGGCTCCCCCCCACCCCTTGACATTGCCTTTTGTATGACGACGCGCTGCAACGTCCATAGTTGGCCTACACCTGGCAAGAGGGCTCAGATGCTGATAGCGCCAAAGAGTTGGCTGGGCTCGTCTCAACGGACCTCAACGAGACCATCGCATTGCTTAAACCCAACCTTCCCAACATGACCAATTTTTCCCTCACCACCTCTGAATTTCCTTCTGAGGAGACCCTGGTACGCCTCGTCATGCCACCTCAAACTCGCACGGTTCTGCCTGGTTGAAAAAGGGCAAGACAGGAAACCAACCATTGAGAACACGGTCGGCAACACAAAAGCATCGAGCAGCAGCCTCACGCCATACCTCCTTTTTCTTCCACCAGGTGGCGAACCTCACTACAACGGAGCTCCTTGGCTGCCGCGTGGGTATCGTATTCAACATCACAAACAACATCTACGACTATAGTCTCCGTTTCGAGTCCACTCCAGGCGGTTACGCGGCTGCCGATGACAACGACCCCCAAACGTGGGAGACCGAATCGACCTTTCCTTTTTTCCCACCACTGGGCCCGCGTGATGACTCAGACTATGATCTCAGTCTTGGTGGCCTGCCTGGCTACTTTGAACATTCATTCCTGGGCATGATGGACTTCATTGCCAACGCTGCCGCCTCACATGCTGCCGTGGACAACGCCGCTGCCGCCGCTGCTCGCACAGCGCTCCTTAACCTTCGCTTGCAGCGCATGCCATACCCAGAGTATTCTGACGACGGCTTCATCTACGCCATTCAATTTGGCCTTCCGCTCTTTCTCATGCTAGCCCTTATCTTCACCTCGGTCACCGTCGTCCGCAATCTCGTGCATGAGAAGGAGCGCCGCCTCAAGGAGAGCATGAAAATGATGGGCCTGCGCAACTGGATCCATTGGACGGCCTGGTTCATCCAAGCCTTTGCTTTCCTCTTCATCTCCGTCTTTCTTTGCACCTTCATCATGAAGTTTTCCAACGTGCTGGCCAACAGCGACCCCTCCGTCGTGCTCGTCTTCTTCACGCTCTTTGCCCTCGCCACCATCTCCCTCTGCTTCCTCATCTCCACCCTCTTCACCTCTGCCGCCACAGGTGCCGCCGCTGGTGGCATCATCTGGTTCGGCACCTACGTGCCCTACATGTTCGTGTCCCCTCGCTACCAGACACTCACGGTCGCGGCCAAGACCGGGTGGTGCACCATCTCCACCACGGGCATGGCCATTGGTGCGAACCTTCTTAGCCAGTTTGAGGCCCAGGGTGACGGTGTGCAGTGGAGCAACATTCACAAGCCCGTATCCGTGGATGATCCCTTCACCTTTGCCACCGTCATGGGCATGTTCATCGTCGATGCCCTCATCTACCTGGTTCTCACATGGTACATTGAGAACGTCTTCCCAGGCCAATATGGCATCCCCAAGCCTTGGTACTTCTTTGTCCAGTCCCAGTACTGGTTTCCGCAGCACCGTGCTGAAGAAGCCCCTTTGCTCAACTCGGACATCGCCAAGGTGGTCAGTCGTGATGACCGCAACTTTGAAAACGATCCCCTGGATGCGCATGCTGGTATTCGCATCCAAAATCTGCGCAAGGTCTTTGGTGACAAGGTGGCCGTCAACGGCACCACCCTCAACATGTTTGAAGGACAAATTACTGCCCTCCTGGGCCACAACGGTATGCCATCTTCCACGGGGCCCTAACTTCTCGATCAAAGGCAAATGTGGGCCATTGTCTGACCGCCTGGCAACCGCATCTCGCCACAGGTGCCGGCAAAACTACGACGATGAGCGTCCTTACTGGTAATGTGACGACTACTTTTGGCTTCTTGCTACGCCTGTGCCCGCCCAGTCTTAGCTTGCCCTCACTCTCAAACGTGTTGAATCGACCAAAGGTTTATATCCCCCCACAGCGGGCAGCGCCGTTGTCAACGGCTTTGACATTCGCCAAGACATTGATGGCGTTCGAGGATCGCTGGTACGTCCCCTATCAGAGACTCGTCCGCCTTGCACTGCTCAAATCTCAACCGCGAAAAGTTGTCTCGGTCGCATTTCATCGGAGACCTTGTGCGCTGAACACCCGCAGGGTATTTGTCCGCAACACGATATCCTGTTCGACACATTGACCGTTGAGGAGCACCTGCGCTTTTTCTGCAAGCTCAAGGGTGTGCCCGAGCCTGAAATTCAAGGCCACGTCGATGAGATGATCGATGCACTCAAGCTCCCCGACAAGCGTCATGCCCAAAGCTCTACCCTTTCTGGTGGCATGAAGCGCAAGCTCTCCTGTGCCATTGCCTTGATTGGTGGATCAAAGGGTCAGTCTCACTCGTTGCGTTTGATCTCCTTCGCCCACACACGCGCGCGCGCGTCCATATGTCATGTTGACAGTCGTGCTTGGTTGATCTCAACCTCTGTCTGCGCCTGGCCTCTCGCTATTGTAGTGGTCATCTTGGATGAGCCTACCTCAGGCATGGACCCGGCGGCACGACGCGCCACCTGGGATTTGCTCACCCGCTTCAAGGAAGGTCGCACCATGCTCCTCAGTACTCACTTTCTTGGTACGTGAACATGTCGGCACTTTCGCTTTGACACGTGGCTCAACAGACACACACACACCCGCGCCCGCGCGCGCTCTCAAAGTCTCATTTTTATGCGCAAATCTCACATGCCTGTGTGTCAATATGGCAGATGAAGCCGACCTGCTGGGAGACCGCGTTGCCATCATGTCGGCAGGCCATGTCGTGTGCTGCGGAAGCTCCATGTTTCTCAAGTCACGCTTTGGCCGTGGCTACCACATGACAGTGGTCAAGGGTGATAATTTCGACACCAAGCGCGTTCAGAAGGCAATCAAAAAGCACGTCCCCGATGTGGAGCTGGAAGGCGATGTACGGCGGTCCACCCTTGTTTTTTTTTTTTTTTTGCACCCAGGACCCTTGCATCCATTGTGAATATATCATGGCTTGGCTCACCTGTGGCAAATTTGTTTTTGTTTTTTTCCGTAGCTTGGTGCCGACACGTCTTTTATTCTACCCCGCTCGGCAGCCGAAAGCTTCCCGGCCATGTTTGAGGACCTCGATGCACAGCAAAAAGAATTGGGCATCATGAGCTATGGCATCTCCATCACTACCATGGAAGAGGTCTTTCTCAAGGTCGGCGAATTGAGCGATGATTCCGAGAAGATTGATATTCAACAGCGCATTGAGGAGCGCCGCCGCCAGCTTGCCGCGCTTCAAGATGAATCCTCCACAGACTACGATGGCAACGACAAGGATGCTCTCATTGCCATGCCGACGGGCAACTTTGACGTGCTCAACCGCGGCATGGCCCTCAAATTGCAGCAGCTCCGCGCCCTCTTCATCAAGCGCCTCCTCCACTCCTCGCGCAACAAGTGGGCCATCCTGACCCAGTTGCTGCTACCCATGGCATTCGTCTTTATCGCTCTTCTTGTGGCCAAGACCAACCCGGGTGTATCAGACAGCCCTGCTCGCCAGCTGTGGCAACTCGATCAACACTACGACCAAGTCGACGTCTACTACACGGACCGCTCCAGCAGTGCTGCCGATCCTACCGCCGAATCGACCGCCTTGGCTAAAATTTGGAACGCGCTTTTCACCGAAAATACAGGGTTTAGCACCCTTCCGTTAACAGGCACTTGGAGCAACCTGAGTGGCTACATCTTGGGCACGATTGATGGTCGGCCGCGTGAGCTAGCCCGCTACAACACCATGGATATGTTTGCTTTCAACAGTGCCGAACTGACTGTCATGTTCAATGGTGCTGCCTACCACTCTCTCGCTGAGGCCTTTGGAATGGCCCAGAACGCCGTCCTGCGCATGACGTTGCAAAACCCCGATCTGTCCCTTCGGGCCACCAATGCGCCTTTGCCACGCAATTCACTCGAGTTGGCTCAGGATCAGGCTGACAGCATGATGGGCTTCTACATTGCCTTTACCATCGTCTTTGGCATGGCTTTCCTTGCCTCCAGCTTCATCCTGTTTCTTGTGACGGAGGTGAGCGCGCCGATGCCAGGCGATCGTTGAAACCGGCACGCTTCGTTTGCATGGGTCTGTCCGTCCTCTCATTCACGTGCGCCCGCTTTGGTACTGCTTCCGCCTGCAGCGATCCAACAAGGCAAAGCATATTCAGTTTGTGAGCGGCGTCGATGTTGTCAGGTACCTGCATCTCGATCCCAATCCGCCGACATCCACCACCGCGCGCACCCCTAGCGGTTTGCACGTTGCTTATTTTGCTCTGAATGTCGGACGGCGATAGTTATTGGCTGAGCTCGTACATGTGGGACATGGTCAACTTTATGCTGCCTACGATTGGCTGTCTGATTCTCTTCCTCTGCTTCAACGTGGAGGAGTACTCCCATGAGCGTCTGGCTTATGTGCTGATTCTTTTCATTCTTTATGGCCTGGCCGTGATCCCCTCCATGTACCTCTTCTCCTTCCTCTTCAGCCAGGCGGCGTTTGCCTATGCCTTTATGGTCATTATCAATATCGTACGCCCCGTTCCGCCTCGCCCTTGCCGGATGCGCATCCGGCGCGATGCGCAAGCATGCGTGAACTGGCTCGCTGTGCTTCTTATGTGTTTCTTATGTTCGTCCCTTTGACCGCCTCTGACCGGCTGCCCTGTGTGTGTCTACGTACCTCAGGCCTCGGGCTTGGCTGCCATGTTGACCGTCAGCATCTTGGGCACGGTCGATCCCGACACCGCAAATCAGCTCAAAAATGCGTTCCTATTTTTGCCCAACTACTGCTTTGGCCAGGGCTTGTCAGACATGTTCACCAACTATCAAAACATGGAGGTGGTCGACGCTCTCAAGCCGCTGTGTGCGGAATACCTCAACATCTCCGCTGATGAAGTTACCGCTCAGCAGTGCTGCAATCTCAAAGCCAGTGCCAATGTGGGCTCGGAGCCTTATCAGCTCACCTGCCAAACCAACTACTGGTCGATGGAAACGCCGGGTATTGGCCGCTACGCGCTGTGCATGGTAGTACAAGCCATCGTCTATTTCCTGTTGCTCCTGGCCATTGAAGCACGTCTCTTCTCTTGCACTAGCAAGCGCACGGGCAAGGTGGCCCGGGACTCGCACCCTGAAGACGAGGACGTGGCCGCCGAACGCCGTGCCGTCGAATCAATTGTATGTATTCTACACAACGATTTCCGCCTTACGTTTGGACATGATGTTGCTGCTTTTTGTTTTTGTTTTGTTGAGTGTCCAGTCAGTCTGGTCTTACAGTTTTGACACTCTGACAGGCATCTGGCAAGCGCCATGGCTCCGTGCACGACAAGCACATGGGAGTATCTCTGAACGACTCGGATAACGTCCTGGTCATCGAAGACATGAGCAAAGTGAGTTGGGCGTGTGGAACGGGTTGTCACTCTGATACACAGAAGAGTTCAAGCTTACTTGTGGTCGGATGCCCTCACGGACGGCCACGGCCCTTCTCGTCATTGACGGCTTTGGAACAGGTCTACTCGCGAAAGGGCGAGCGCAAGGTGGCTGTCAACCACATGAATTTGGCTGTCAAGCAAGGCAACTGCTTTGGGTTGCTGGGCGTCAATGGTGCGTAAGAGGCGACATGCGCTCCACGCTGGTCCCGACGCAGCTTGTTCGACCTCTTACTTACTCCCTGCTCGCTGTGAATCCTTGCGCGCAGGCGCGGGCAAGACAACCACGTTCAAAATGCTGACGGGTGATGTGCCTCCCTCCGAGGGCACGGCATTCATCAAGGGCTTCGACATTCATAGCAATATGAGCGAGGCCCGCCGCCTCATGGGCTACACGCCGCAGTTTGATGGCCTGATTGAGCTCATGACTGGTCGCGAGCTTTTGACCATGGTACGCACAAGGCACTTGTATCCACCTCCTTATAAGCGCGTGCATGCTCGATCCAGGCGACAAGCCGAAATAATATTGACTCTTTCTCTGATGGCTGTTCCCGATTGTAGTATGCTCGTCTACGCGGTGTACCAGAGAGCCGCATTCCCTCGGTCGTGACCGATCTCATCAACGGCTTGATGCTGGAAAAGTATGCGGACAAGTATTGTGGTACTTACTCTGGTGGCAACAAGCGCAAGCTGAGCACGGCTGTGGCTTTGTGTGGACCGAGCCCCCTCGTTCTCCTTGATGAGCCTACGACAGGTATGTCATGAATTCTTTTGGTATCAATGCCCCGCCTGAGGGGCTGAACAACTCGCTAGACTCTTTTTCCCCTTGTCCTTTTATTCATACGGATTGCGATGCTTTGACTTGATACAGGCATGGACCCTGGTGCGCGCCGCTTCTTGTGGGATGCGCTGCTTGAGGCCATGAAGGGTGGCCGCTCGATTGTGCTCACGAGCCACTCCATGGAGGAGTGTGAGGTCAGCTGCGCGCCTCGTGCTCAGGTTGTCGCGCACCAGCCCCATGCCTCATCTTCTCTGCATCTTGCCTTGGTGTTCTCTCTTAGGCATTGTGCACGCGTATCGCCATCATGGTCAATGGACGTTTCCGTTGCATTGGCAGCCTGCAGCATCTGAAGAACCGCTTTGGCCAGGGCTTGACTCTGGAAACCAAGATGGACCCGTTGCGTGTCGATGCGTTCAAAGACTTCCTGGGCAAAAAGTTCCCTCAGCGACGTCTCAAGGACGAGCACCAGGGCCTGCTCAAGTACGAGCTGCTCGGTGAAAAGTCGTGGCCTTTTGTCTTCAAAACTTTGGAGGAGGCCAAGAACGAATTTGGTCTCGAGGACTACTCAGTGTCCCAGACGACCCTTGAGCAAGTGTTCTTAGATCTGGTGAAGGATCAGCAAGAGGACACGCTTCAGACTGGCGTTCACTGAACAACTTCATATTTTAATGCCACAGTGTTTTGTTGCGCAGACGCTTTTTCAACTTAGGCTCAGCTGGCGTACGTCCAGACAAATGACGTACACCTTTTTTTTTCTTTTTTTTTTCAGGATGCTAGCTTGTGTTGTATGTGAATCGTTATCATTTTTCGTCATGTGCCGTCTCTTCCTATTCCGAGCTTTTCAACAAGCTTTAGGGCAGCGTGTTGTGATATTGTGGCCGAGGCTTGGCTTTTGGCTAGTCGCTGAAGTGTTTTTTGCACCTTTTTTTGAGTTTTGCGTATTCTTTTGGGTGAAATGTGTGTTCATGGTATGACAGTCTCCTTTCTGATTCTTGACGTGTGTACAAAGGGGCATCATCTCCCTTCGTAACGTGATAACAAATTGACCTGTGAATCAAAAGCGCCCATCCAACAAATTAAAGTTCAATTATTCTCGTGCCTAACCTACGATGTCAGAACTCCTCAGAGCATCACGAGCTCTTATCCAGACGCTGGGTCTTGCCGGATCCCCCTAGCGCGGTGGCAATGGCTCCAAACACCGAGGGCCGAAGACCATCCGGCCGCTGAGCTCGACATTGTGCCCGGCGCTCCGCAATGGCCAAAGGCGTTTCACCCTGTGCATCCTCCGCCCGAGCCTGAGCGCCATGTTGCAGAAGCGCCTGTACACTAATCAGGTGCCCATTCTGGACCGCCCAGTGTAGCGGTGTGCGGCCCCAGCGATCTGAAATGTTAACACCATTGCCGCGAGCCCCCGAGACCTCATTTGCGGCAGCCACGAGCAGTTCTATGACACTGGTGCCCGCACCTGCTCGTGCTGCCACGTGCAATGCTGTTTGTCCATCGTCATTGCACAGCAGAGCTGCGCGCGGGCGGTCTAGTAGCTTCTTAAGCAGGCTGACGGCAGGCGTGCGCGCGGCAAGATGCAGCAGGGTGTCCCCACTAGCCGTCCGACAACCCATCAAGCTTGGGTCTGACTCGAGCAGAACAGTGACGCAGGCTGAACTGCCAACGATACACGCTTGTTGCACCACTGCGGTGCTGTCTATGCCGGTTGGCGCATCTGACGTTGGGGTTGGCGATGCCTGCATGCGAAACCAAGGTTCGAGGGCCTCAGCCACATCCCCTGCCAAAATGGCTCGTAACACACGCCGCTGCCGTGTCTCGCTTGTTGCTGCCGGGCAAGATGCAATTGGTGCTTTGTGTGTTGAAGATGGATGCTCAGCCCCGGCAATGAGTGGCACCAAATCATTGGCGTACTCCAGTAATGAGGCATGACTGAGCAATTGCTGTGGAAAGAAAGGCGCTTCAAGGTTCTCACCAAACAAATGCTGCTGTGAAGAGTCGGCGCTCTCCTGGTTGACGCCAGTGTTTGCTGCCGCCACCACACGGCGCAGCGCAAGAACAACACGCAAAGCCGATAGCGAGTCACCCCCAAGCTCAATGAAGGAGAGGGCCAAGGGTGGCCGTTGACTTAAGCCAAGCGTCTCCTGCACCGCATCGGCAAGCCAAGTGCGAGCGGTCAGCATGGCAGCATTGGTTTCAGTAGCGAGTTCATCGGCATGGTTGTCGGCATCAAACTCAGACTCGGCTAGGGGGAGGGCAAGCAGGTCGCCGTCGTTGGTTTGTGTGGCGAGACGTAGTGGTGGCAATGCTTCAATGTCCTCGGTCAGTTGGCGGCGGCTGACTTTGCCGTTGGACGTGAGGGGCCAATCCATGACTGGCTCGACGCGATGTGGTTGCATGTGTGTTGGCAAACGTTGCCTTAACAGGCTGGCAATCAGCAGCCGGGCACAGTCAGTCCGACCTTCATCGCTTGGGTTGTGCAACCGAAACCACAGTACGAGCTGCTGCTGTCCGTATGCAGCAAAGCAAGATTGAACCAAGGACGAGAGCTCGGCCTGCACGGTGTGCTCAAGCTCGTCCAGCTGGACGCGGTTGCCGCGGATTTTCACCTGAAAGTCACGGCGACCCAAGAGACAATAGGATTGCTCCGCTGCCTGCCAACGCAATATGTCTCCGGTTCGATACCAAGTTTGTCCGTCATGGGATGTCAGATAAGCCTGGGTGGTACTGTCAGGTCGGTTAAGATAGCCACGACCGACTTGCGACCCACTGATGCAAAGTTCGCCCTGCGGTGGTGCCTCGTAAGGTGACCGAGCTGGGGATGCTTTTGGCGGTGTTGCTGCGGAAGAAGACGCACTCTCGGTGGCCTCTGCATTGAGCACGATGCGACCGTCCGCAGTGGCGTCCAGGAGCAGAATATCCCCGTTGCCGGCAGGAATTATCCCCAGCTGATTGCCGTCCAAAGGCGCGCCCAGGCGACGACCTTCGTGACGCAGGCCCCCTCGCATCTGACCAGCAGTTTGGTAGCCGCAGCACTCGGTGACTCCATAGATGTTAAATAGCTGGACGCGGGGGGCCCAGATGTCGATGAGTGCGCTGGGCATGGCCTCCCCTCCCAGCGCAACGACGCGTAGGCAGGGAAAGCTGGCAGGATCAGCAGCTACGGTCGTGTCGAGCGTAGCCCACAGTACAGGAGTCGTGAGGACGTGTGTTGCACGCGTCGCAGACAGAACGTGAGACAGTTGGCCCAGCAAGGGGCCTGGTTGCCATATGGCCAGGCGGGCGCTGTCGTGCCACGTTGCCAATATGTCCAGCATGCCGGGGTCGAAAGCAATCCCCGATGCCAAAAGCACAACCGATGTTTCTATCATTGAACGAAGAAGAGCCGAGGCGAGGGAGGCGCGGAATGAGAGCATGGGGGTGCGTGCATCACGCTCTGTCTTCTGCTCTCTTAGTCCATTCTGCTGCTGTGTCGACCCTCCTTGGTGGAACTTGTGGGCATTATAAAGAATGCCTCAAGCCAAGACAAAACACATTACCATGGGCAGTGAGACAGGCGCTTACCGTCGGTCCCAAGACGACGACGTTTGGCGATAATGTAGTTGTCTACAGCTGCGCGGCTCACCACGCAGCCCTTTGGCACACCGGTGCTGCCGGAGGTGTAGAAGACATGCGAGATGGCACCAGGATTGGGCAAAGGTGATGACGCGGGTTGCGTTTCTGCGCGTGATGCGTGACCCGGCTGTAGGAGCTGCCCGAGCCGCGCAGCTAAGCCCGCGGGCGTGCAGGAGTGGCAACCGAACAGCTCGGTGTCGTAACCGATCCAAACAGGTTGCCAGGCTGTATCTACCTGCGTCTTCGCAGCAGCAGGGGCGGCTCGGCGGCGGCCACGACGATCATTGGACGTTGAGACGCTATCAGTTTCTGTGGCAGGTGGTGGCCTAGTATGGTGGTGAAGCACGAGATGAGGCTGGAAGTCCTGCAGCACGGCCGCTTGCCGGTGAGGTGGGTCACGGCTATCAATGAGACAGAGCACGGCCTGAAGCTTGTGCAGTGTCAGCACGAGTATGGCTTCTAGCACACCGAGCGCCGGCGCGCATACGACCACCCTCGTGCTTTCGGTGAGACTGGAAGGCGCAAGCGCGGCCGCACAATCTGTCTTGGGGAGCTGCGCCAGGTGATGGCGTAACCGGTCCTGAACCACGCCCATGCAGGCAGTAATGTGCTCCCGTTCCAGCCTCAGAGAGGCTGACCCGGGCAACCCGTGCACATCCATGATCAATGTGTCACTTTGCCTCGCACCTCCCACCGACACCTCTTGGCTTCGGCGCGCCGCCAACAAGTGACTGACAACTCTCTCTCTCTCTCTCTCTCTCTCTCTCTCTCTCTCTCTCTCTCTCTCTCTCTCTCTCTCTCTCTCTCTCTCTCTCTCTCTCTCTCTCTCTCTCTCTCTCTCTCTCTCTCTCTCTCTCTCTCTCTCTAT